GCGCGCGCGCACGCGATAATTGGGCAGGCAGTTGGGACCAGGAGACCAGGACAAAAGCGCAAGGACTGTTGAAGAGCCTTGAGTCATCCCAAACCATCATCGCCTTTATTGTCACCAATAGCCTCCAAGCTGCAGAAACGGGATCTGGACATCTATCAGGCATATGGTATGGTAGACAAGACATGTGAGCGAATCACTGTTATGAGACAGGAAATAGATATTGAGTATGGGCTGTGGTATGAAGATGCTACACGCTTAGCCACATCTCTAGATACATCAATTTCAGTGCCAAGGGCACAGAAGTCAACCCGACAGATCTATAGGGCCAATGCCCCCAGTGAATCTCCGAAAGAGTACTACCTCAGAAACTTGGCAATCCCCTAGTGTGACCACCTGTCCACGGAGTTCCAAACTCGCTTCAACCCCGAAAGCAGAAAGGGTGTTAAAATTCTTGCTCTACTTCCCGGTGCCATCACAAAGACCGAAAATATTCAACCGATCCGAGGTGAAGGAGTGGCAACGCCTGGAGAGGCAGGGAGGCAATCCAGTCTTCACCCTCACCAAACTTGTCTGAGTGTCTGGAGCATGCTGACATCGACATTTTTCCAAACATCCGCACCCTGTTGAGGGTTGGTTGTACTCTACCTGTTGGACGTTGCGAGGCAGAGCGCTCTTTCTCCTGTCTGCGACGTGTAAAAACCTATCTTCGCAACAGGATGGGGGAGGATCGATTGTCTGGTCTCACAGTGATGAACATGAACCACAACATGTATATTGACTATGAACGAATCTGCCAAATGTTTATAGAACGGAACAAACGGAAAATGTTTTCCAGTTGCATACTCTACCAGTAAGCTGCCATCAGTGTCACTGTGCCTGAATTATCTCGTCACCCATAACTGTATTCTAACTACGTACTCCACTATTAATATGTCACCCTGGTTGAAATCAGCAGTGTTAAACCGTGTCATACATAGAACAATCGTGTTCTACAGCAGCTGATCATGAGCTTAATTGTTATGTTACAAATGACAACTGCCAAAAATCGTATCTACTCATATGTATACCATGTGGTTTGTATAAGCTGCATACTCTAACAGTAAATTGCTCTCAATGTGACTATTATGTGGAATTAGCAGTGTTAAACCGCGTCATATAGATAACAATCATTTTGTTTAGCTTGTAATGTTACAAATGCCAAAATGTTTATTGACTGAAATTTTTTCTAATAGTATCCTCAGTGTCTCACTGTCAACACATTCGTCATGACCGAGTTATGAGCATATAGATGAGAATTTTCCTCAAATTGGCAGATTTTAGACTATATTTTGCTCCTAGGGTAATTTTTGAAATCAGTGTAAACTCATTGAGAATTTATTTTATTTTATATATTAAACTCAACATGAGCTAAATTAATGCTCAGAGCGTTATAGAATGCACCAGAGAGCATTCATTTTTTCAAAATTTTCCAAACATGTTTATACAAAAAATCATACAAACACGCACGCGCGCCCGTGTGCTCACGACCACGTCCGCTACCCGACTCCCCCCACTCCCTCACTATATTTGAATTCTAGCCGTTACCCTGCCCATAAAGCTACCGAATCGGGCGATTCACACATAACCCTAGTGCCTCCCTGCCTGCTTATTCAATCACTAAACTACAAATGCAGACATCAGGCTGCTTATTCCTATTGTTCCCGGCAAAGGGTTTGTTGTTTGAGTTTTACTCATAATAAATACCAATTGTTATATGTTTATTTTTTATTACTTTGGTTTTTGTTATTGTGCATCAACAGGACCAAAAAATGTGACCCCCCCCCCCTTTTCAAAAAGCTGGATCCGCCCCTGATCTATGTATATATCTGATATCTGAGCTATGATCTAATATCTGATGATATATGTATAATATGTATATAATATGTATATAATATGTATATAATATGTATATAATATGTATCTATGAATCTATGATGTATGTGATCTATGATGAGTCATGATGAGTCATGGTACATTGGCGAAATGCGCCAATCACGGCGCTCTGGCGAATTCTTTGCTTTCAACATGGCCGCTTCCATTCGAACTTCAATTTTGCTTAAAGCGAGTCGTAAACTGCAGCATGCTTCATTGTATAGAGGATTAGAGGGAGAACAACAATTTTCCTCACATAGGAAGCTGCATTTCTGGTGCCCATCTCGTTGTGGGCTATATAGGTCCACTCGTTCACATTATAACCGTTATGAGCAGAAACAGAAAAGGTAGGCCTATTTGTTGGGGCCCTGAGAGGGTCTATTCTAATACCGTCTATGTCCCCCAGGATACTGCCGGAACGTACCCTGGGTACGGTCCGGTATACCGGAACGTACCCTGCTACTATCTAATATGCCGGACCGTACCTCGCCTACTCCACTAACGAGTCTAGGGAGTCGCCTACGCCTACTCCCTAAACCGACCAGCCTCCAGGCTCTCCGACTGTTACACGTCGTAGGAACGTGTCCCTTTCGCCAACGTAGTGTTAAGCGAGAAAGGAACTTGTGGCTAACCCTATAACCCTAACCCTAACCCTAACCCTAACCATATCAAATACTGAAATAGTTGACAGGGTACGTTCCGGTATACCAGACTGTATCGTGGGTACGTTCCGGCAGTACCCTGGCCCGGGGGACATAGACCCTATGAGCTTTGCTGGCAATGGTGACTGCCCGCTAGTCCGAAGGGCCACTACTAACTCACTCGTCTGAAGGCCCACTATAGTTCGAAGGCTCACTAGTCCGAAAACCAAGAGGGTGACTGCCCGCTAGTCCGAAGGCCTACTAGTCCGAAGGTTCACTAGTCCGAAGGCCCACTAGTGCTGAGAGGGTCTATGTCCCCCAGGGTACTGCCGGAACGTACCCTAGTACTATCTAATATGCCGGACCGTACCTCGCCTACTCCACTAACGAGTCTAGGGAGTCGCCTATTCCCTAACCCTAACCCTATACCCTAACCCTAACCCTAACCCTATACTCTAACCCTAACCCTAACCCTATACCTAACCCTAACCCTAACCCTAACCATATCAAATAGTTACCAGGGTACGTTCTGGTATACCAGACCGTACCCAGGGTACGTTCCAGCAGTACCCTGGGGTACATAGACACTATGAACCACTCACAGGGGATGTAGGGGGAGCGGGTGGTGTGTGGATGTGTGACAAAATTGTAGACTACGGTAAATCCTCGTTATACCGCCAGTCTCACTTATTGCCAGGAAAATGCCAATGTACAGATCGTTTGTATCTATTTGTACGTAATTTAGCCTCGTACACCATAAAACAACATAATTCACACAATTTGCACATTTTTGGCTCTAAAAAATTTAATTTGTTCAGTTTTCTGAAAATACACAGCAGCATTCTAACCAGTGACAGTGTATCTGCATGGCCATCTGCAGCATGATGTTTATGACATTTATCTCGCCACTCTCCTGCTACCAACCATGACGGGGCGCCATCAATCAGCATACAATTTGCTAAATAATATCAGTGAAAATGTTTAGTTTTTCCTTCGGACTAGTGGGCCTTCGGACTAGTGAACCTTTGGACCAGTGACCCTTCGGACTGATGAGCTGTAACTGCTGGCAACAACCAACATTATTGAGTGTCATTACTACATTATTAATATTAGACATTACAATAAATACAATGTTGTCAATAATAATTAAATAGAATAGTAGAATTACGTAACCCAATACAAGAGTAGGATGACCTACTGTGCGTGTGTTGGGTTACATTATTGTATCTACTGGCACCATAGTCTACTCCAGATCTACCCGACCCGTGTAGCGCCGCTCCACTGGCACCCCCAGTGCCAGTGCCACTGGAGTGAACTGTGAAGGACTAGATGGGGAGAACTATTCACAATCACAGCGACATGTCCTTCGCTGTGTTTCGTTTCAACAATAATAGCTTAGGCCGATTCAATGATAAAATGATAGTTTTAAAAGTAAATACGAATTATATTTACTACCAAATGAGTACCAAGACTTGGGTCTAATGTTGATGTACTTTGTGCGGCATAATTAATAAACTGCTGTTCAAAAACTCATAACAGAAAATGTCACGGCATGCACGACTCCGTTTATATAGCTAATCTGCACTTGCTATGATAACTTACTTTTCATTGGGTAAAGCTTCAATTACTGAGCAAAATTTTGTAAAATCATGCGAAATTTTTTATTTCAGGGCAATGTAAATTTATAGAAGTAACCAGTACTAGTACTGAGTACGTGAGTAATAGCAGTAAACTGATTTTTTTGTTAACTGCTTGAAGATAAGCCCAGCGTATCAGCTCCAAGCCTGATGTCACAGTCATGATTACTTTTTTGTCTAAAGGAGCAGGGAAAATCGCTGAGGTAACTTAGGCTGAGAGGGTCTATGTCCCCCAGGTTACTGCCGGAACGTACCCTGGTACTAAATACTAATATCTAATATGCCGGACCGTACAGGTCTCGCCTATTCCATTAACGAGTCTAGGGAGTCGCCTATGCCTACTCCCTAACCCTAACACTAACCCTAACCCTAACCCTAACCCTAACCCTAACCATATCAGCTAGATATAGTTACCAGGGTACGTTTCGGTATACCGGACCGTACCCAGGGTACGTTCCGGCAGTACCCTGGGGGACATAGACCCTATGAGCGTAACTTAGTGCTGATATCGATTTTTGGATGTTCACCACTAATTATTTCTATTGGCATTGCATTGGAAAGACCTTTTTCACAGGATTTTGCATTAAATTCATTATTTACATTATTAATATTTTCCATTGGCACTCTGGTAGTAAATGGTATTATTATTTATTTACTGTTATTATGGGAACATCCCAAATGCCTGTGTGTAGAGGCAGCCAGTGTGTAGAGCCAGCCAGTGTGACTCACACAGAGTAGTGTGTGTGTGTACATGTGTGTGTGCCTGTGAGGGTAGGCAGATAAATTAATTGTTTGTGATTGCTTATCATTAAAGTTGATAAGCTTATTAGCATGGTGTTTTACCTTTATTTTGAGCACAATATGGTCAATAGCTAAACTGAATATTCATATTTTCTCTCACACAGTACACATCTCCCATTGTCACTTGGCACAGTTGGAATCTTGACTACAGCGAAGAAACTTATTGGGCTGGAAGACGAAGGGGAAGAAAAAAAAGAAGATGAAGTTGTCATCACAATCAAACGAGCAATACTTGCCCAGCAAGATGGGCGATTTCACACAGCAGAACAGCTACTCCATGTAGCATTGAAAATGGCACAAGAAAGGGCAGATATGCAAGCTCAAACCTATATCTTTGACTGCATGGCCAATTTTGCAGCTGAAGCTAATGACTTGGAAAAGGCAGAGATACTCTTTAAAGAGACACTGCAGCGACTAATTGCATCTGGGGAAGAGCAGGACAGCAATGCTGTCGTGGAATTATCTCTAAAACTTGTCAAAATATATGCAGCACAAAAGAAGCATGACTTAGCAACTCAGGGTATTGAGTTCTGCCTTAATACCCAAGAGAAGAAAATAAAATCTGCAAAAGCTTTAGATGCTGACACGTACCTTCTTTGGGCAATGACCAAGGATTGGTATGCCAGTTACCTAATGTCTCAGAAACGGCTCAAGGAAGCTCAGGAACAGTATGAAAAGGCACTATCAATTTGCGAGGCTGTGAATGGGCCAAATCATCCTCAGACCCTCGTTCTGCTGAATGATCTTGGTAGTGCCTGTTCCTTGCAACAGAACTATGATGATGCTGCGGTGTATCTAAAAAAAGCTGTGAAGATTGCTTCGATTGTTGAAAGCGAAGAACTTCCTGTTTACTACTGTAATCTTGGAGCTGTTCACACATACAGAGGAGAGTATGACGAAGCAAAAGACTGCTGCACAAAGGCCCTACGATTAGCCAGAAAGCATAGCAACCATGAAGCTGGAGAGCAGGCGATAAAATGCCTTGCTAATATTCAGTCAGAAAGCGGAAAATAAACCAATTTGTTTAATTTGCATTGTGCATAGTTATTCAGGCACTCGGGTCCACAATCCATTTGAATGCTTCTAGTCTGTTCTATAAAAAGGAAGTTGTATGCTATCTTATTGCCAGGTGGTAATTGGCAACTGTAGCTTCATTGTATGATATATATACTGAGTGTGGTGCATACTTTCTGCAATGAGTGTAGGGCCTTAAAAAATCAATGTTGATAATGATGTGATTTGATATTCTGTGTGATTTTATCTATGATACATGTATGTGGCTATTTTTGAAAACCACATTTTATAATCACAAGGATTTTCAATATGTTATTTAATTAAATATTCAAAGGGTGAAAATTGTCTTTAGAATTAAGTGTCACATGTTATATCTACAGTAGAAGTCCAAAAATCTAGATGCCAAAATTCCGTACCACCCGAGAATCCTGACTTTTTGAAAACTTGCATTTAACTCTTTGTTTAATAAACTAAACTAAAAATAAACAATTAATTTATATAAAATAACTTTCGCTTTCATTTGTTTACTGTATTTTTCTTGTACAATATTCATTTTCAAACATGATTTCAAGCATTGCACACTCTTTTTTGTGGTGAAAAATTTTCATGTTTAAATTTTTGTCAATCGTTGACTTTATTTTACTTTAAAACTGCTCGTTTTTATAAATGAAGCATGCTGTGTTTGCTAATGAATAAACTATCAAAATTTACATGTTCATCTCTTTATTCTTCATAAAATTATAATTTTAAAAGTACTGCCCGAGAATCCGGAAAATCCGATATTCCGGACCGACCCAATCCCCAAGCAGTCCGGATTTTTGGACATCTACTGTATTGAATTATGCAGCATAACATAACAGGAAAAAATACGGAAAACAACCTAATGGTAACTATAGTAGTATTACTTTTCTACTTTGCAGCATTATGAAGAGATAATAATATGGATGATATTGGCATTAAATCATCATGAATAGAAGATTACCAGGTGCCGATCGTTTACTTCTGATTATCATTACCGTCGTCATCAAATATGTGCAATGGACTATAGAGCAATTAATGAACACATTGAACAGTTAAAGTACTCTTGCACGGTTGGACCTGTATATTTGTCTAGATTGTCTAGTTGTCTATATTTTTCAACAATACATTTGCACACAATACAATGTTAATACGATGTACGTAAATATAATTATGAACATATCAGA